ACACCTTTGAACTGTGGGAGGAAACCTGAGCACCCAGCAGAAACCCACGCAGATACGGGAAGAATGTTCAAACACCACACAGACTATCACCCAAGGCTGGAATTAAACTTGGGTCCCTGATGCTATGAAGCTGAGCCACCATGCCACCATTCTTGAGATTGTCTATGGATTCTCCAGTAGGTCCGACTCCTCTATTAGATTTTGCCCGTTCCAGAATTCTATTTCTTTTTAAGTTAATGTAATTGTCAAAAAGGGTTACAATGTCACCAAAAATGCCTGTGTCTTCTTCTGTTTCTGGGCACTTTATACAATTATCATCTATAGGACCTACTGCATATATCAGTGGATTAAATTGCTCTGCTTCTGATGTGATCTTTAACATTGCAGCAATTTATATTTTGTGTGTCTTAATAATTGTTTTCTCCATGTCGTCCATGCTTGTATTTTGCTAGAACCATTTCTGATCTTGAATCTGCTAGGAAATATGTTTTTTTATAGCTCTTCTTAATGTGCTCATTAAAATTGTGACTGTGAGAGTATTTTAAACCTGTCCTATTTCAATATTGCTTTAAAGCTGATGTTTTGGAGAATTGTCTTCTTGTATTCAGAAATACTGATTTAATTTAAGTTATTATGAATCTTTCTGGATCTCCAAAGCTATATGTTTATTTGGCAGTATATAATAACGCTGTATTACTGTGGAATTGTATCAAATTATTTGAATAAAGCTTTAACTCCTACTTAGAGATTGTTCAGTATGATATACTGCTTCGAAATTTTAAATCTTTTCTCTTCTAAAGTACTTGTATATCTAAAATTGTTTTGAGTTTTTAAATTCTGTACTGCAGCAATATTATTCTAGTAATGCATGTATATTACTGTATAATTCTCCTGGTGTGTTAGGAAACATAGTTGAGGATTCCTGCCTTTTTTTTTGCAGGAAATTTCCCTCCATTTTGAAAAAGTAGAAGGTCCACGCACTTTTCTCTTCTTCTTAGAATGATGCGTGTCTTATTTTCCTAAATAAATGGCATATTTGGACTCTTTCCACCATTAAAATACGTTCCAGTTTTTAAATAAAATTTTTCTTGCTTCTAAAATGTTTTGGTCTAAATCTTTTGTGGTAGACTTGTGATGTTTAATCGTGTTTCCAATATTTCCAATTTATATTTTAAAGTAAAGTAATGGCCCCATTTAAACTTTCGTACTGTCTTTTGGCACCTGTTTGTGACTGTGGTAATGATCTTTTAACTAGCAAGTGCTCACATTTGACTTTACCAGCCTCCCAGCCTGTGTTTTGCATAGTTAGGTAGCTATTCTACCCTTTCCCCTTAAGGTTTTAACTTGTCACTGGAGCCCTCAATGTCCAGTTGCTCAATGGCCAAACCTCGACTCAAATCTGCTCCCTTCTGCCAAAGTGTGACTGTCTGTAGCACATACAGCTGTCTCTGGATGTTTTATCCCAGGTCTGGCTATGTTTTCTCTTCAGGGTTTAGCTACTAAGCTGTTACCTTCATAGGCCTGAGCTGACTGCTGTTTAAATGATTCCAGAAGTTGACTGACTGGCTGAACCTCTGTTAAAGTAATAATTCATTTTTAGGCACAATGTCTTCATCAATTCTCCTTCCTATGATAATTCAAAGGCTTGTTCAGTAGCCTGTAGTGGAGGATGGACCATAGGAAGTCCTAACAGGAGACACTCCTGCCTTTCATAAAAATTGGATACGGTATATACAGATTACATTAACTCTTAGGCATAATAACTATTAGTAACAAGATATCAAGACATAAGACGTCAAGAGACTATGTCTCACTGCCACCAGCTCCAAACTGCTACTGTCTGAACTGCACTATGTTTCATCCAAAGGGTGTATTAGATATCAGACTGAACGGAGGTTTCATAGTTCATTCATTAACTCTTTTCAGAATCATTAGCCTATACAATATACTATTGATAAAATGCAGGGCCTATTAACTATTCATACCATAATAAATACTCATGAAGGCAAATAGATAAATAGTATCATTCTCTGTTTTTCATCAGATACCTTTCAAATGATGATAAAGCTATAAGCAGAATAAAAAGGAAAGATTAGCTTTCGTAATTAAATAAAATCTTCTGCATCCTAAGACTACAAAGTGAAAGAGTCACATCAGCTTAAAGAGCAACCATTACAACTTAAATAGCTTTGGAAATGAAGCAGATTATTTTCCATATCTCTTTTGTTTTTCTTTTTCTCCTTTAAGATAAGCAAAGTGTTTTGAGCAGTTCGAGGTGGATTCCTGCCAAACATTTTCAAGGTGGGAGCTTATCATTTCAAAGACAAGCTGTTCCTTTTCCACAGATGCAGAAATAAATTTAGTGAATAACATATAATTCAGCAACTTTAATTTAAATTATTTATTTTACATTTGCTACTTTGGCACTTTACAATTTTAAATTGAAGCAAACAGGCTCAACAGCCACATTTATGTGTTTCATGCAACTTCGAAACCTTGTTTCCTGTAATGGGTTGGGAATTCAAAGTGCCAAAATCTGTGATAATCACATTCCATTGCCCAAAGAGAACACAACTTCAACTAGTACGCAACCAAACCATGAGCCATGCTCCCCGCAGAAGTACAAAGACATAAATAAAACAACTAGCAATCTAATTCTTGCAAAATTAAAGACAAAATGACAAAGGGTTGATTCAGAGATAGTAGGAATTGCCAATCCTGGAAAATCTGAGAACAAGGCGTACAGCTGGATGAACAAAGCAGGCCAAGCAGCATCAGAGGAACAGGAAAGCTGATGTTTCGGGCCTAGACCGAAATTTCTGAAGAAGGGTCTAGGCCCGAAACGTCAGCTTTTCTGCTCGGCCTGCTGTGTTCATCCAGCTGTACACCTTGTTATCTCATATGACAAAGGGTTGACTGCTTTCATCTTGCAGGAAAGAGCGCCTGTACGTGTAGAAATGAATAGTCACAGAAAGCTGTCATAATAACACAAATATTGGGCACATGTTCTAGTAATCAATCCCTTGAAACATAAATGACTCTTATTCCTTCCCCATTGCAGTTTTCACTATCGCAAAGAGCTCTTGAATATATTCCTTTTTCTCCTAGCTGTCCACTTTCCTGCACAATCTTAAAAGCATTTTCTCAGCATGAAATCTGACCGCACAAATGACGGTTCAATTCTGAAGGGTTTTTTTAAAATTTATGAACAGTCCTTTCACTAGTTTTAGTACACTAACTTCCTGTTTTTGAAACATTCCTTCTGCTCCTGGCCTCTAGTCTCATGCACTTTCAGGTTGACACATTGCTACCACAGTAAAGCAACCATATGCTTTTTGCACAGTGTTATGTTATGTCTCACGGTCAGAATGTCAACACATTTTTAAAGAGTCTTCGCACGGTATCATCACTTTTTCATCGTGTGTGACCTGAAAGGTATAAAGTTCTCATACTCCATCTTACTCCAGGATCACTTGAATCTGGCATGCTACAGGAAGTATGTATTCTTTTGTAAACTGATACTTGTGTACAATTCTTAGCTGTAATAAACATCAGTTGAATTCTTCAATAACATGACATCCATGCCAAGTTTCCCATGTTACAAGGGATAAGTTAAGCATTGCCTCATCAGATAAAATACTCTGCTGGAGGCAAACTCAACATACAGCTCCAAATCTTGATCCAGTTGGTTCGGTTGCTTGACTTCTGCGATTAATAAGCTCGTTGTCTTTCTGAACACATAATAAGCACAGGTAAGACAAGTGTGAAGGTCACTCACCCTCCCATATTTTAACTTCGATCTCATCCTGTTTCGGATATACTCTACTTTCTGCTTGAAGATCCATTTAACATGTTTTGGCCACATTAATGGACACTTTGCTAAGTTTTGATGTGGAGGGAGGGAGGTCAGGGAGGGACTGCTCAGGGTGGGGGAATGTATATGCCCAGAGGTCACCCTGTTCGGAGCCTCACTAGACTCCTTCCCACATTGAGTGCCTCCCCCTCCCAATTCACCTTCTCCACCAGGACATCCTCTCCCAAGCCTGGCAGATTCTCCTTCCATCCCCACCGACAGAGCATCGCAGTTGCCTCTATCCTGCCTCTTGAACGTAGTAACTGGGAGCTGCTTGCTTATAGTTCCAGCAGCAGCCACATTCCTGGTGGCCCTTCAGTGGTGACAGAACTGCCACCCAACTAGATTTGCCAGCACCTCCAAGTGAGGGGCAGAGGTGTTCATCCAGCAAATGAATGGCTGTGAGTTGTATTCTCTGATGATGTTTTAGGTGACACAGCAGAAATGGGAATCTCTGCTACTCTTTAACTTCTACGCTTGATGATCGTAGAGATTGTAAAAATTATCGGCACAAGGATATCAGCTTCAGCAAAGTCTACGATAAATACGTTAGCAATTGGCTTACAATGATCAAAATGATCAAAAATCAATCCTACTGTCACCTACTCTCTTGCCCCTTCCCTTTGCAAACAGAACACAAACATGAGTAATAGGGAAACGTTGAGTCGAAACAGTAGGTGTGTACCTGTGCTTTATTTTAAATTAAATCCAACTTCAGTCACTTCAAAATACATGAATTACCATACCTACACCAACTTCAGCAGCTGAAGAATAAAGATACTTCGGTTCCAGCACCTTATTCTGCCCAATTTTAAGTGTGTTTACATGATAAAACTTCACCTAATCTACAGAGCAAGAGAGCAAAGTAGTCCGTGTTGAAAAGCAATCCATATCGTATCCAAAGCAAAATACAGAACATTAATTTGTGAGCACGCATCCAATTCCTTTGACCAGTAAGCCACCTATAAAACAATGCACACAGCAAATTTCTAGTATGTTAATAATGTCCTCATTTTTTCCAATAGTGCTTACTTGTAATCAAAAAAAATCTAAAGAATAAGAGTCTCTACAAGGCTTTGTGTCTTAATGTTTCATAGTTCAAGATCAGTACTGAAAACCTAAAGCTGTCTTGCCTATAAATACTTACTGCGTGCTGGCCTGAGGTGCTCTGTTTCGAAGTGTTAGACAGAGATATTGAAGGTACCATTGCCATAGACGTCCACTGTTCAGGTTCCTGCCCGATGTGAAGAGCCTGGGTAGAAAATTGCCCAAAATGTGCCTGAAATCCACTCAACAGTTCACTTTCCTCGTACCCTGCTGACATTCTCCTTTTTATTTTATTTCAGTACAATAACTAACTGGAAATAAGTGCACAGCCAATTATCGGCAGCTCAAGCTCAAAAGACACTACAAAGGACTTGCCACTGATTCAGCTAACCAGCAAAAGTTGGAGGTGTGGCTTCAGCCTCCAAGACATGCTAAACAGTCAATCCGTAACCTCTGCTCCACAGATACACAGTAATGCCCTGTCTACTCCTCGCTGTGAATGAGAACACATAGCCATAGATGCTAATAACATTTATTTCTCAGAAGTCACAATTTTTAAAGTGGCTTAAGCAATGTACACCAAAACTATGTAAAAGAAAGGAATTTTAAAGAATTAAATCACAAGCAGCCAGATTTGGAGTCATTTGGTGGACAAATGGCACCCACGTTTATTAAACCACTACTTCTCATCGATGTTTTGTGTGATTTTAGATAATATTTATCATTAGGAAGCAATTTCAAAGCAGTACCCTCTACAAAGAATCTGGGGCATATGTGAACATACAAACATGAACAAGGATGACGAACAGGCCATTTGACTCCTCTGAACCTGCTTAGTCAATTAATAAGACCACAACCGATCAGATTGTGATTCCAAATCCATAATTCAACCTAACCTTGATAATCCTTTTACTACATTGCATCACAAAGAAATATATCCAGCCTCTGTCTTAAAAATATTCAAGGACTTTGTTTCCACTCACTTGAGGCACTGTAGTCTATCGACAGGAGCTGATTTACTCCAACACAATCTGCAACCTTATCATCTAGCATATCCCCAACTCTATCACTACCAGTAGGCCAGGAGATCAACCCTAGCGCAATGGCATATCCCCAACCCTATCACTACCAGTAGGCCAGGAGATCAACCCTAGCGCAATGGCATATCCCCAACCCTATCACTACCAGTAGGCCAGGAGATCAACCCTAGTTCAATGAAGAGTGAGGAACAGCATGTCAGGACCAGCACCAGGCAGATCTAAAAATGAAGCATCAACCTGATAAAGCAACAACACAGGACTATGTAATGTCTCAAATGTAATAAGCTGCAAGTGACAGACAGAGCTAAGTGAATCCCCATCCAATGGATCAGATCTAAGATCTGCAGACCTGTCACATCCAGTCTTGAATGATGGTGGAGCATTAAACAACTCACCAGAGGAGGTTGCAAAAATATTCCCATCCTCAATGAAAAGGGGAGCCCAGAGCAAAAGATAAGGCTGAAGTATTTACAACAATTTTTAGCCAGAAGTGTGCCAATTGGATGATTCATCTCAGTCTCCTCCTTAGCATCACAGACACCAGGCTTCAGATAATTCAGTTCATTGCAAATGATATCAATACATGCTAAAGGCATTTGATATAGTAAAAACATGGTCTCTGACTACATTTCAGCAATAATACTCCACAACTTGCTGCTTCACCAGCCAAGCTTTTCCAGGACATTATAACACCGGCAGCTACACTGCATGTGAAAAATTGCTCAGGTGTCTCCTGTATACAAAATGTAGGACAAATCGAATGCAGCCAATTACCATCCAATCAGTCTATTCTCGATCATCAATAAAGCGATGAAAGGGATCATCAACAGCACTACCAATCAGCACTCACAAAGAAGGATATTAATGGTTTTTGTAGGTCAGTGATCTCAGCACTAGGACATCTTTGCAAGAGTTCCTCAGGGTAGTGTCCTTGGCTCAAATATCTACAGCTGTTTCAGCAATGACCTTTCCTCCATCATAAAATTAGAAGGAGGGATATTTGCTGATGAATGTTCAGCACCACTCACAACTCTTCAGATACTGAAGCAGTCCATGTTCAAATGCAGCATGACCTGGTTAATATCATCATTTAGGCTGACAAGTGGTAAATAACATTTGCACCTTACAAATGGTAGGTAATGACTATCTCCAACAACAGAAAATCTAACCTTCAGCCCTTGAGATTCAAAGGTGTCACCATCACTGAATCCACCACCATCGACATTCTGTGGGTCTACCATTGACTACAGATTGAACTGGACTAGCCATATAAATACCATGTTACAAATGCAGGTTGGATACCAGGAATCTTGCATTAAGCACTCACTCCCTGATGGCCCAAACTTTACCCACCATCTACAAGGCTGAAGTCAGGCATGTGATGGAATAGTCCTCACTGCCTGATTGAGTACACTTGAGTGCAATGGCACTCAACAAGATTGAAACTATCCAGGGCAAAGATTTGTCAGGCATGACTTCCTGCACACAAATCCATGCTGACTATCCCTAATCAGACCTTGACTATCCAAATGTTGGTTGATCCTGTCCCTCAGTATCCTCTCCAATGAGTTGTCTATCACTGATGTCAGGCTCACTGGCCTGTTGTTCTTGGCTTGTCTTTGCTACCTTTCTTAAACAATGGAACAACATTAGCCACCTTCCAGTCTTCTGTAGCTTCACCAGTGGCTAAAGATGAAGCAAAAATCTCTGCAAGGGCCTCTGCAATTTCTTCCCTAGCCTCCCACAACATCTGAGGATGGACTTGATTAGGCCAAGGGGATTTATCCACCTTAATGTGCTTTAAGGCTGCAAACACTTCCTCTCTGGTAATGCGTATGCGGTCAAAAACATCACCACTTGTTACCCTTATTTCCTTAGCATCCATGATTCTGTCCTTAGTAAACTGTAGAACCTCTTAGGATTATCTTTAACCTTATCTGCCAAATCCATCTCATACCCTTTTTTTGCTCTTCTGATTTCCCTCTTAATATAGTCACCTAGGGATTCACTTGAGTCGGATAGTTAAACCCAACATATGCCTTCTTCCTTTTTCCTGACCAGAGCCTCAATATCGCCTGTCAGCCAGGGATCCCTGAACCTGCCAGCTTTTCCCTTCACCCTAACAGGGCCATTATGTCTCTGTACTCTTGATATCACACTTTTAAAAGCCTCCCATTTGTCAGTCGTGTATTGCCAGTTGTTTATTACCACACAACATGTCAGAAAGTGCGCTCAGTGTGAAATGAGACTATATCTCCATAAAGACTTAATTGTGTTCAGTCCTGTCCTGTCAATAGTGTCACATGCAAGCAAATGTATTACTTACTTTCAAACTGTACTAATTACTTTGGATACTAATAAATGTGACAGCCTCCCTTGTGCCAGGTTTGTCTCATGGTGGTGGAATTGAACATCAAAGCAGAATTTTTACCCTGACTGAAGAAGTGCATTGTGGGTTTGACAATGTTGAATGCAGGATGGGAAATTTGCTAAAGGCACAGAATTACTACGGCCTGCAAACTGGCTTTAAACTATTCTGGAACTGTAAGCAATAAAGGGGCCTCTTTGTTAAGACCACAAAAATGCCTTCTCTGGTTTAACACTAGAGATTGATAAGTGTGTTAAAGGTAACGGTTTAGCTACCTCCTTTTTTTTGCTGAAGTGCAGCCTTGAAGTTAAGGCCAATGGATATAAGGTGCAACTTTTGAACCAATTACATAGAACATAGAACATAGACGAGTATAGCACAGTACAGGCCCTTCAGCCCACAATGTTTTGCCAACCTTTTATCCTACTAAAATCAAACTACCCTGCATACCCTACATTATAGGATGTCTATCCAAGAGTCGCTTAAATGTCTCTAAAGTATCTGACCCACTACCACCGCCGGCAACACATTCCACACACACACCACTCTCTGTGTAAAGAACCTACCTCTGACATCTCCCCTGTACCTTCCTCCAATCACTTTAAAATTATGCCCCCTTGTGATAGTCATTTCCGCCCTGGGAAAAAATCTCTGGCTATCCACTCTATCTATGTCTCTCATCATCTTGTACACCTCTGTCAAGTCACCTCTCGTCTTTCTTCGCTCCAATGAAAAAAGCCCTAGCTCCCTCAACCCTTCCTCATAAGACCAGCCCTCCAGTCCAGGCAGCATCCTGGTAAGTCTCCTCTGCACCCTCTCTAAAGCTTCCACATCCTTCCTATAATGAGGGGACCAGAACTGAACACAATATTCCAAGTGTGGTCTAACCAGAGTTTTATAGAGCTGCAGCATAATCTCATGGCACTTAAACTCAATTCCCCTGCCAATGAAAGCCAATACACCATACGTCTTCTTTACAACCCTGTCAACTTGGGTAGCAACTTTGAGGGATCTATGGACGTGGACCCCAACATCCCTCTGTTCCTCCACACTGCCAAGAATCCTGCCATTAACCCTGTATTCTGCATTCAAATTCGACCTTCCAAAATGAATCACTTCACACTTTTCTGGGTTCAATTCCATCTGCCGCTTCTTTGCCCAGCTCTGCATCCTGTCAATGTCCCATTGTAACCTACAACAGCCCTCCATGCTGTCCACAACTCCACCAACCTTTGTGTCATCGGCAAACTTACTAACCCACCCTTCCACTTCCTCGTCCAAGTCATTTATAAAGATCACAAAGAGCAGAAGTCCCAGAACAGATCCCTGCAGAACACCACTGGTCACCGAGCTCCAGGCTGAATACTTTCCATCTACTACCACCCTCTGTCTTCTATTGGACAGCCAGTTTTGTATCCAGACAGCCAAATTTCCCTGAATCACATGCCTCCTTACTTTCTGAATGAGCCTACGATGGTGAACCTTATCAAATGCCTTGCTAAAATCCATATACACCACATCCACTGCTCTGCCATCATCAATGTGTTTTGTCACATCCTCAAAGAATTCAATAAGGCTTGCGAGGCATGACCTGCCCCTCACAAAGCCATGCTGACTATTTCTAATCAAACTGTGCTTCTCCAAATAATCATGAATACTATCTCTCAGAATCCTCTCCAATAATTTACTCACCACAGAAGAAAGACTGACTGGTCTGTAATTTCCAGGATTATCCCAGTTCCCTTTCTTGAACAAGGGAATGACATGTGCCACCCTCCGATCATCTGGTAGTACAGACAGGTGAGGATGCAAAGATCATCGCCAAAGGGGCACCAATCTCTTCCCTTGCTTCCCATAGTAGCCTTGGGTATATCCCGTCTGGCCCAAGGGGCTTATCTATCCTCCTGTTTTTCAAAATTTCTAGCACATCCTCCTTCCTAACAACAACCTGTTCGAGCATATCTGCCTGTTTCATGCAGTCCTCACAAACGTCAAGATCCCTCTCACTGGTGAATACTGAAGCAAAGTATTCATTAAGGACCTCCTCTACCTCCTCTGACTCTGCGCACAAGTTCCCTCCACTATCCCTGATTGGACCTACCCTCACTCTGGCCATCCTTTGGTTCCTCACATAAGCATAGAACGCCTTGGGGTTTTCCTTGATCCTACCCGCCAAGGTTTTCTCATACCCACTTCTAGCTCTCCTAAGTCCATTCTTCAGTTCCTTCCTGACTACCTTGTAGACCTCTAGAGCCCTGTCTGATCCTTGCTTCCTCAACCTTAAGTAAGCTTCCTTCTTCCTCTTGACTAGATGTTCCACATGTCTTGTCATCCAAGGTTCCTTCACCTTACCATCCCTTCCTTGCCTCAGTGGGACAAATCTATCTATTATGTGTATCAACTGCTCCCTAAACAATCTCCACATTTCTGTCATTTATTTCCCTGAGAACATCTGATCCCAATTTATGCTCCACAGTTCTTGGCTAATAGCATTGTAATTCCCCCTCCCCCAATTAAATACTTTCCCCTACCGTCTGCTTCTATCCCCCTCCATGACTGTAATAAAGGTCAGGGAGTTGTGATCACTATCACCAAAATTCTCTCCCACCGAGAGATCTGACAAATGGCCTAGTTCATTGTCGAGCACCAAATCCAATATGGCCTCCCCTCTGGTCGGCCTATCTACATATTGAGTCAGAAATCCTTCCTGGACACACCTGAAAAAATCTGCTCCATCCAAATTATTGATACTTAGGAGGTTCCAGTCTATATTAGGGAATTTGAAGTCACCCATGACAACAATCCTATTACTTCTGCACCTTTCCAAAATCTGCCTCCCAATCTGTTCCTCAGTGTCTCTGTTGCTATTGGGAGGTCTATAGAAAACTCCCGATAAAGTGACTGCTCCTTTCCTGTTTCTGACTTCTACCCATACTGACTCAGTGGAGAAACCCTCCTCCACGACCTCCCTTTCTGCAGCTGTGAGAATATCTGCCACTCCCCCACCTCTTTTACCTCCCTCCCTATTTCTTTTGAAACATCTAAACCCCGGAGCATCCAACAACCATTCCTGCCCCTGTGATATCCAAGTCTCCGTAATGGCCACAACATCGTAGCTCCAAGTACTGATCCATGCTCTAAGTTCTTCACCCTTATTCCTGACACTTCTTGCGTTAAAATAGACGCACTTCAACCCATCGCACTGTCTGCAACTTTACCCGATCAACTGTCTCTCCTTCCTCACAGACTCTCTGCATGCTGTATCTGTCTGTAC